AACAATTCATTTACATGAAACAAATTTGGTCCATATGGTTAGCAACTTAGCTCTAGAGCCAATCAAAGTTTACCTTTTGAGGATGACGCACAAGCAGGACAAACGCACAAAACCCTATGGCCGGTGCCAGACCGCGAATCCAGCAATAACGAATAAAATCCGCTAAGGAATCGCTGGATCCCCTACTAGCAATCGCTGGATTCGCAAAGTCAGACACCGGCCCTACAAAATGTCGCCTGTTATAACGTCACTAGCCGCCTTTGGCGTTGCCCACTGGAAAAGCAGCGACACAAAACAGTCTTACCTCTCCAGTACGTGGAGTGGGCAGCCGATGCAACTTGAACGAGTTCATTGAATAACGATGTGTAGTCTCGTTGGCAAGATTTGTCGGTAAATTGATAATTGTGATTGCGTTGTAGGGACATTTCTTCACGCATATACCACAACCGATGCAGAGCACTTCGGAAATTTCTGCTATAGGAGATGTTGCCTCGACGACAATGCATTGCTTTCCTGAAAAAAGCGGCAATTCAGGTAATCACAACTGAATAACACCACTACGAAAACTTATATATACTAAAATTACGGCTCCCCACTTTCTTCACGATTTGGGGGCCGCGGCGAGCGCGGACGAGTCGATAGTGCCCGCGAACTGTGCTGATGGAGCGTTTTCAAACCTACCCGCACAGTTCGCGGGCACTATCGACTCGTCCGCGCTCGCCGCGGCCGCGCCCCAAATCGTGAAGAAAGGGGGAGCCTAGAATTACGACCATTCCTGTGGTAAATTTACAAAAAAAAGACTTCAGTGTTTGAAAAAAATAGAAAGCGGGTATGCGCGCTTGCCTTTTTACTACCGAATGCTTATTATAAAGGTTGATGGAAGCATTAGGCTGGTGTCAGAGTCCGCGATCCGTCGCAGGTTTCGCTGATTTCGCGATTCGCGATTTCGCGATTTGCGCGATTCACGCGACGGGTCACGGAAATCACAAGTGCCCGATCAATACTGCAAGGTGTTCTCCAATCCTGCCGCCACTTCTTGATAGTGATGGCTGAATGACGACTGCTCATGATTCCACTTGTTTCATATTCAGTGTTTCAAATGTTCACACACTTGCAATTTTTGCGATCCGTCGCGTGAATCGCGCAAATCGCGAAAATCAGCGAAACCTGCGACGGATCGCGGACTCTGACACCAGCCTTAGGCTGCGGTCATATGTTGCAACCAATCTAAAGTTTGTTTTGAAAATCGAAAAAAAAGTAGATAGATCAACAGTATGATTTCAAAATACTCACCCATTTTATTAACTGGACAGGATCGTTTACAAAGCAGACCGCAATTTTTCGGTTTGCATCGATCCTTCTCCACGATTGCGATTCGCAACGGTTTGTCGGTCTCTTCATTCTTTTGTAACGGTCCTCTCCGACTCATTTTCACAGTTAAAACCCGTAAACTGGTTGAGAGTATATAGTAACAAGCAAGACGACGTTTGAGCTTACTTCTGAAAAACTTGTTATCAGTAATTGAATCATCGGGCGATATGAACATTAAGAGCAAGAAAAAATCAGTTGTAAAGGCGAAATTTCAAGCTGAACGTGATCTGCATTCGAAAACGCTCTCTCGAATGTTATGCTCCAGAAAGAAAGCTAGAAATCCCAAGTAGAATAATAGCTACGCCGTATTGCACAATATGACCTTTCATCAGAAAGACATAGAAAATTACATAATGTAGTAAATAGAAACTTTGACCAGAAGAATTTGAAGTAAACACAAACCCTTCCACAAAACCAAAAGAGCTTTGTGTTACAAACAATAATTAGAAACAATATTATCGAAAACATGCATTTTGGAATACGGTAGACTCCTACCGCAATTGCAGACAGTTGCCAACGTGCTCCTTTTGAATCCCGTCTAGCTATAGCTTGAATCCTCGTTCAAGTTCTCTGATAACTAAGGAAAAGCGAAGCAGATTAGTGCACTCTGAACTGTGATAGGTTCGAGGGGCAGAATAGCGCAGTGAAAGTAAGCACGATTGCACGGTGCGCAAGATCGGGTTCTGTCCATGCCGATTTTCATTCATGAGATTACGGTAATTTTGTGTTCAGCTGATCTGAACTAATTAAACACCAATGTAAACCTCGGCTGTTACTCGTGAAGTTTTTTTTTAGTTTTTGGGTCAGATATGGGCGGGGTCAGAAATCTTTGTGAGTGGCGCAGGTTCTCCCTCAATGCGAGAATTCCTTATCGTAATCGCTTCCTTCAAAGTAGGGAGGGGGTCATCAAGGTGCGTACAACACCCTCAACATTCTCTCCCCCTCAGTACCTAGCGTCCCCTCCTAGTCCCCGCTAGGGCTAAGCCTCACGGGATTAGGGGAGGGGGTTGTGTAAGCGAAGTGTATTTCGTCTGAAGTTCGTCCTCTCCTCCTGGGTTCAATCCGTCAATCCGCATAGCGAAAGCACAAGCACACTAGCGCCAACTTATTCTTTACCACGTGATTGCAGGGTTAGTTGTGCAAAGTCTGAGTTACTACTACTACTCCTACAC